GGCGGTTTACTGCAGACACTTTGGGAACACCCCGCAAACAGAACGGTCCATTTTCCCAAAGCAAACCTCTGTGCCTCCAGCACAGCCTTGGGAAGGCTGTCCCTTGCCTGAGGAAGCTGCTGGGAGCAGGAATGCACTAAGGACTGCGACATTCTCAGGTACAATGGCAATGGGAGTCACCTGTGAGCTATAAATAGCACTGACATCCTTTCTCTCCTGAGCCTGCAATCCAAGCAGTCATTTTTGCGGGTGCTAGTGAAAATGAACAAAGCTTTGAACAGCTTTTATTAACACTCTCTTTGCAGACTGGAAATTTCCTTAGTAAGTAGTGACTAGTTTTTTTTACTGACCCTGAATTTTGCATTTATTTAAAGGAAAATTCTGGCATTTTTTTATTTTTGAATTTTTAAAAAATATCATATATAATTTTCATATTTTTACCTCATCTGTCTGGGAAGAGCTATTGTGGCAGGACAGTTGAGATCACAAGTATTCATTTTCAAAAATCCTCTGTGCAATTGCAGGAAAACAGGGGAAAAACCCAGGAACCTAGATTCAGTCTTATATAAATCTTACATGCATTTTTAACAAAAAATGAAAATGTTTTGGTTTAGAATTAAGGAAATAATGCAGGATGTTTGGGCAGGTTTTGTGGTGTTTACATTGAGAGACCAGACAGCAATACTGGTTGCAGTAAAAGGAAAAGCTTTACATGCCTATCAGACAAGATTTTCCTATGGTTTGATAGGAAACAAAGATGGCTTTGTTAAGGAGCTATGAAGACCTGAGAGCAACACTGGCAAAAGAAGCCTTTTCAAAATATTTAGGGTTCACTTGATGAAGTCTTGTCATAACATAATTAAGTCTCACCTGTTATGCAACTCTCCTTTGCTTCTATAGGCAGCAGAAAACACAAAGGTCTACAAAACAGACACTTTGCTCTGGGATAACCAAAGAAACCCTGCTACAAGATCAACTAGTGGAGCTGGAAAAATTAGTCAAGCTTTCAAATATGCAAGAGGAGCTGTATTTTTTTGCAGTGATGCCAACTAATCTAATTCTAGATTAGACTGTTATACTGACAACCCTTTTCTTAGGCCAGTGGGCAGCGCTGCGGCCTGTGAAACGCTGTGATTTTTCCTGCTGCCACAAGATGGCAGGAAAAAACAATGTTGGGAGATTTAAAAATACACAGAGATGGGCCTCGCAGAACGGAATACACTCCTGACTGGCATTTAAAGGGAGCACTTGCAAGAAACTGCACGTTGGATGGAAGAAAAATGTGAAATGTATGGAATTAATTAGGTTGGTATTGACCTGGGTGTATACATCAAAAGATCTACACCATATCCTTTCCTATGTAGGTTCTGTGTATAAGAAAAGCCTGTGGCAGTGCTCATTTTTTCCTGTACACTGTTCAGTTTGGCCTGGTTTTGTCCTGCTGGCAAAATCTGTTGTACAAACCAGTTCCAAGACATAATGCACTCACCTAAAGTAAAAAGCAGGGTGATCACTTTAGTCTTTTGTACTGTCTTCTTCCAAATACGGTTCTCTTCCCATTTCCTGTTCCTCCAGCCATAGTAGGAAAAGAGCCCAGCTAGAGGACACTGCTCTGGCTTTTGGGAACAGTGGGAGACACGAGGGACAGCAGCTGGGCAGGAGGGCATGCCTGGGTGCTAACAGGCTGTGGCACTGGGTTGCTGGGCTGGGCACTGGGGTCAAATCCGTGTCCCTCTTGCCTGTTCTCCTGGGAAAACTGACCCTTCAACGCAATGGGTGAGGAGCTTTTCTTATCCTGACTTACTTAATGTCGGTATGGGTGTCACAGGAGCTGCTGGGGCTTTGGAAGAGGGCTGGAAGGGAGGAGGCTGTGCTGTTCATGCTCTCTCCCCAGCTGCTTTCACTTCAAATACTTTTCTTAAGGGAAATAAACCTTCTACAAGAACAGAAATTGGTTTGGAAAGTACAACCAGACTGGCTGGGGGTTTGGAGTTACCCAGAGGCATTCCTCCTCAGCAGCCAGTGTGGTGGTTCCCCTCCATTCTTCTGACAGATAAAAGAAAGCTGTGGAAAACTCACAAAGATTATTGTTCACCTGGAGCTCGTGAACTGGTAGAAGTTAATTGTGCAAGGCAGCACTGTGTAGGCCTGGTGGGCCCCGGCCCTGGTCCTGGTCCTGGCCCTGCCATGCTGCTGCTCCCTGCATGGCCTGGCCTGGCCTGGCCTCACCGGCCTGGCCCTCCCTCACCGAGACATGGAGGACGTTCAGCAGTGCCCTTGCAGTTTGTCTGGTGAGGGGACAAAGCTCATGGGGTCATGGCAGCTGTGCTGCCCTGTGGCAGTGGCCTCCCCAGAGGCTCATCCAGCACCAGCTTGCTTCTCGCCCACCCAGCCTTCCTCCTTGCCCACCCAGCCTTCCTCCTCACCCATCCAGCCTGCTCCTCAGCTATCCTTTCACCCTTTTTTCTCACCCAGCCTTCATTCCTTCTTTTCTTTTTTTTCCCCCACAACCTTCATCTCTCCTTGGAATGATGGAGGAAAGGGGCTTGTTGGGGGCATAAGGTAAATTAGGAACTTTTGTGCTAGGACCAGTTCTTCTATTCAGCCTGTAATAATTACAAGTATCAAGAGGTTTAAGAAATAACCAATCTGTTGAAAGCCAAAAGCTGGAGGATACACAGATGTCCTGTTTCTTATGCTGGCTTTCTCTAGACTCTGCTCTGGCCTGATGGAGAGCCAGTCCTTCAGGCCCAACCTGAATTGGCCCTTCCCACTTGTCTTATGAATGCTGTGTCTACACTACTCATTACTAAATACTGAATTCTACAAAATGGGCACCAAACATCCAGAATCTGCCTCCCAGGCTGGCAATACATTTGTCATTATGAACCAAGGTTCATTTCACAGTGACAACATGGAGGAGAATGACAAGGCAGCAAGAGTGAAGAAGCAAAAGCAAAATGCTTACAGCAACTTTCAACTGCTGAGATGATGATGGAAAAAGAACTGATAATACAGGTGCCCATCACCTGGGCAGGAACACCCTTGTCCCATGACATGATGCTAAAACAGATCCTAATACCTTCACACCTTTCCAGATTCTGATCCTACTTGGATTTTTAAGATATTCTTTCTTGTATTGCTTCTTTTCGTAAAATTACTTTGGTCTCAGCTTGATTCTGCAGTTAGCAGCTTCATTTTGTGAGGAAAACAAATGATGGAAGGTCTGCAGCTGCTGGCAACACCACAAGAACACTACCAGAATCCAGGAGCCTTCTTTTGCCCTTTGGCTGCCCACCTCTGAGTTATGGGGTCCCACCTGCTATTTAAAGGTAAATTAAGCCTTCCTTGAAATTATTAGCTTAAACTGAGCACAAAATTACTTTGAATTTAGCTCATGCAGGACATCCTACAACCTGAGTCCTTTTGCCAGGCTTTCAGCAACTATCATCTGGGTCAAAACAGCACCAGGGCATGCTTAATCCTGCTCTGGATGGGAGGTGAGCAAGACTTTAGAGATGGAGGTGTTAGGAGATATGTGTGTATGGAGAAAAAAACACTCTCTAGACACCTGCTCCCCTTCAGTGCTTTAAAGGAAAATTCTCCCCTTTCAGCACTAAAGCATTGACTGCAAGTGTCAATTTGCTATCTTTTATAGAGAAAACAATACTGAGAAACCATTCACCACAGGTAGTTTATCCACAAAGTAAGGGCTGTCCAGGAATTTGAAATCACTGGGTAGAAGGGATTTTCTATTTCTATTCTAATGGGTTAAGGGATTTTCAATTCTATTCTACCAGGTAAAAACTCTGTCTGAGTTTTTTATTTTTGTTCTGTTGAGCAAGGTGTATATGCCTGAGAAGGAGCAAACACATGTACATGTCAGCTCCAAAGGGAGGAACCCCCTGCACAGGTGACATCATCTCACTCATGGTGCTGGATCAGGTCTTGAGAGGCTACACTGACCTCTGCTCTTCTCCTGCAACTTTTCACTATTGCCACAAGCAAGGGCTGAGATTGGATGGGTCAGTCTTAACCCAAAAATCTAATCTGTTCCGAAATGCAGGGGCCCATAGCTATGTGAGCTTAATTGGGCCCTTCTCTCTATTTCTGAGACTGTCAGGCACAGGAAGGTGGCTGCTGACTGTTGGAACAGAAAAATGTGTCACAGAGCTGAGGTGCTTTTCTTATCCTGACTTAATGTCTGTCCCACCTCCTTCTTCCATAAAGATGTCTGTCATGCCTGTCCCATTTTCTGCCTTTCTAGGGTCAGAAGCAATAGTGATTACCAAGTAACTTCATCCCATCCCTCTATTAGATTAACCACTCCCTTGATGGATCACAGACTGGCTGATGACAGGCAAAATCTCTGTCATTAAAAACTCAAACTCCCTCTGCTCTCAGAGGTGCTGGTATGGTGATGGAGCTCCCCTTGCACACAGGCAGCCTTGCCTTCTGCCTGGTTACATCCCCTGCAGGCAGGATGGTGCATCTTGGCTTTACAGCTGCTCTGTGTGGCTGCACATGCTTTCACAGCAGGATCTATCAGCACCAACCACGCCCCTTGCAGCGATCTGAAAGAGTGCTGCCTTTTTCACAGGAATGAGCCTGCTGTCCCCAGAGAACATAGAGACAAAATCCTGGCCAAAGAGGGAACCATGAGAACAGAGCTAAGGTTATGACTTTGTAAATGTTTATCTTCAGTCTGTATTTGATGTCTGGATAATAAGGTGACCAGTCTCTTTCAGATATGTAAGGCAGGTTAAACAACAGAGGGTACACAGTGGTTCTCTTGAGCTGCAGCACAGAGCATGTGCAGGGCCTTACCATTCCCACTTGCCACCTCTTTGGCCAATGGATGCTTTCATGCAGTGTCTCTTCCTAAGCCCTTCAGAGATGAGCTGTAAGTATGGTTGATACAGCTGTGGGGTTTTTTTCCTAAAAAAATGGTTTTCTTTTTGTACTGTTTGCATTTTTTCATGCTGCTTTGGTTCACTCACCGTTTTCTTCAGTTTGGTAAAGAAACCGTCTGTGAAAATAAGAATGGAAAAAAAATTAAATTATTAAAGACAGGGTTTTAATATACACAGGGAAGAGATGTTTTAAAGTGAGTCTATCAGGTTAGGCACCTAATTATTATTTCTGCCCTTGAAAATTTTTCACTTACAGTGATTAATTGGTCAGTGCAAATCCATTGCTTAAAGGTAATTGGACATTTTTATAGAAAGTTCAGAAACAAAAACACTCCAGGCTGTTGTTCTAACTATTAAAAAAAAAATTATGAAAAGAATATGTTTCAGGGCATCATCCAGCCTCTCTTGAAACTGTGCAAATTCACTTGGTGAAAACAACAGCAGACACAATGAAATTAATTGTATATGAAGAACTGAGATCTCAAATGTGATATTATGCAGAAAGTAGAGTCAGTACTAAATAAGTAACAGCTCTATGTGTTACCAAGGGTGCACTTTGATTTTGATGAATGTTAAAAGAACCTTTAGCCTTGAAAATAAAGAGGATAATTTCTCTCTAGGCAATGGCTGCTCGTGAAAGCCATAAAATAAGAGCACCGGAGCCCTAATTTTATAGTGCTTTTTAAATGATTTTCAAATGGTCCAGCTGCTTTGTGCCACAATAGCACAAGGCAGAGATATTTACGCGGGCAATAACAAGCATGCATCAGCCTGCCCGGGCTGCTCTCCGCAGGCTGCCTGCAGGAGGTGAAACACACGTGGAAAGGTGGTACTTGCCAATGTGGATTGATCACCATCACACCATGGTCAGAGCAATCCTGGGAAGCTGCTTTTTCCACCCAACAACTAGATTGTTTTCCTTGTCTGTGTGTGGCTGTGAAGCGCAGGATCTGTGCGGCCGGCAGTGCTGGCTCTATTTTGACACTTGAGAGCCTGCCAGCAGTGCGTGCCTCTTAGGCCATACTGTCCTTGGCACACGTCTCCTTTTGGAAACAGGAGGGCAAACTCACCCCTGGGTTACATTGCTGGCTTGGGGCGGGATTGTCCACAAGGGCTGGTGTGGCCCCAGCTTTGGTGTTCTGATGCAGCACTGCATTACCTTCTCCAGAAATGCATGCATGTGGCAAGAGAACTCTGGTGGCAATTCTGCTGAGATGCTGAATTGCCACCAGCAACTTTCCCCAGGTATTTTACCTCTGCATATTTAGGACTTCAGTGTAAAACTACAATTTATTTTCCAAACAAATGCTCTAAGATGAGAACTACCCTGGGGTGGTCTATCTTAGCATGCCAATTTAGGTAGTCATTTCAACAGTTAAAAAAGTTTCAATTTTTTCTTTACAGTCCCCTCTCCTTGGCAAGACATTGACATAAGACAGGGTACTGGGAGAAATCTGCCTTCTGAGCCAGCAGAATAGGCTTTAAAGAGCAGTTCATTTATGAAATATTCCATTAAAATTAAATAACTTGTCTCTTTCCATGTTCACTAGTGCTAAAGGCACAGCAATGTTCAAGTAATAAGAATTTTGGTGGGAATGGGAAATTTTGAGCATGTGAGAAATGTCTAATTTATGGCTGAAAATTTTTTGTATTTGCAATAATTCTCAGGTCTATAAAGCTGGGACAGAGCTGGGCAGAGGGCATGGCAGGAAGAAGTTACCTCTGGAAAGTCCTCAGACATTGAGCATCTATTGTCACCAGTGTAGAAAACTGTCTCCCATCTGGGTGACTTGTACGGGTTGGGCAATATTTTCCCCTTTTCATCTGCTGGTCCAAATCAGCAAAACAGGTTAGCATCTTTTTGTGTCCAGGGATATACTTAAGAGCTTTAATTTTAAACAGGGGCCTATTTTCTCTTGGAGTTCAGTTTTGAGAGTTTTAATGAGCAGAATGGACAGCAAATAAGGAATGTATCCCAGAGGAGTACCTAGCACATTTGCTGCCCTCACTTGACAAACAGATTGAGGAATGAAATGAGCATGCAAAATTCAGAAACATTCTATACCCTAAACAGAGAGGAAAAATAGATTTGATGTTAAAGCTTTAGGTAAAATGTTCCTTTCATCTTTATCTCATATTCAGATTGTTTGTCTGACATTTCTCTTTGTTGCTTTGTGTTCTTTTAATTTCATGAGTTTAGAGTTTACGTAGGTGCATACTGTATCTGAGTTCAGTATGTAAACCCTGCAACTTGATGGAATTGCACATGACTGGGTAACTCTTTGGACAGCATTGCCTAGAGGAAAGTGGCAGAATAGCATAAGGTAAGCCAGCATAAAGGAAGCAGATCTGCTTTTTCTAAGAATACAGCAAATAAAAATTTTTCCTTTCAGAACACAAAGGAATACACATAGTGCTGTTCCAGGCTGCACAGAACAGTGCTATGGTCACAGATTGCCTAAGTTTGTACTTCTGCCTCACTCGCATCTCATCTCATCTCTGAGAGATCCAATTTACAGCAGCTGAGATAAAGTAGCCTCCAGGGTATTACATACAGCCCTTTCATAAATCAAGAACTGCTTTTTGTTACTAGAGATCTGAGTCTAGAAACAGAGGAAAACACATGGCATGAGGCTTTGTAAATGGCCAACTGGCATGTCTCTGCAATAGCTCTTTGCAGCTTTTGGCTATTTCTCAAATGAGAAAGTAACTATTTTTAGTTATTTTTGTTGTGCATTCTGACAAATCAATACAGAAAAACTGAAAAAAAAATTTGTGATTTCTGACTGAGAGCTCAAAACTGTTTTCCCTTTTATAATTGCTTTTCTTTTTTCTCTCCTGTGACAGAAGATACATTGTGATGATTACTAGTCTCCATGTGTAATCCTTGCCACTGGTGTGGATATGGTTTTGTTGGTCACTCCTAATCTCTCTGGATCCTGCTGTTTTCCCACGTGCCAATGAAGACAATGTCTGTAAGTGGATAATTAGGCTTACCTGAGTGGTTGAGTGACATTTAGTTAATGCTGCTAAAGTAATTTGTGATTGCTTAATGCGAGTGCTGTGTAAGAGCAGCAGTTTACCTTTGGGATAGGGATTCGCCATTTGCCCTTGTTAATGCACACAGAATGTACAGAAATGTGCAACAAGGTCAAAGTCGATTGTGTCCACTATGAAAGCTCATGATAACAAGTAGCTCGGGTTATCTTGTTGCCTTGTAATGTATTCCTGTCTGTAGAGCCCAGTGTCCACCACACTCTGAGACATTTTTCCCCTTTGAGAAGTGTAAGAAAAAGTAAAGTAGTAGAAGAATGATACAAGGTTGCAATTTCTGTATATACTCATATCTGGAAATGCAGAATTCCAAGTTATTTCACTTCTGAAAAGAAGTAAGTTTAACAAGTTTTACTGACTTCAGTTGGCCACAGTCTCATTGAGGACTGCTAGTCCAAATAACCTACACAAATTCACCTCAGGAGGTAGCTCTATAACTGGACTTGAAATATGTATGTTGAACACACTAAGGTTTTAGCATAGCTTCTAACTGTACAATGTTTCTTTGCTGAAGTGATATTAGCTTTGCTGATCCTGTTAAACTCCAGTTAATAAACCTACCTGCTTAAGATCAGCAAAAAGTTTGACTTCTGCAGGATATTTTACATATTGTGCCCTCAGCTGCTTATATAGAACTTCAGAAAACATTGTACCTTTAAACCCAAAGGGTCTTGGCCTTGGCCTTGTATATCAGCAATGGCTGATAGCCAGACAAATATTTAACAATCAGTTTGTTGACAACTTCAAAGTCCTCCAGGATGAAAGTCATCATGTTAAGTCAGCCATCCTTACTTTATTTTATGATATATTTAACTTGTTTAAAGATGCTGAACATCAGATTTCTGATAAAGGCATATGGAGAAATATTTCTTATAAAATACAGCATTAATTCTAGATTGATCTTTGATTTCCAAGTAGCTGCTCAGAAACTGCACATAAATGGTTCCACAGAAACAAGAAGTGACAGTGTATGGTACTGCTCTGGGTTATTTTAGCTCTGGCACAAGTCCTGATGCTGGCATGGGTTTGCTCAGTAACAGAAACATCCATTGTTTATTAACTTCACTGAGTACTGGGTTGGGCCCTAAATGCACATACTCTCTCCATTCCTATCTCATGAAGGGCCCATGAAACCTCATTCTCAGGTGTTGTTCCTATTTGTTTTATTGATGTTGGCACAATGAAGAAAATTCCATCTGTAGTGCTTGATCAACTTCCAGTTTCACTGTTTGGAGTCTGTAACTTGTATTTAAGCTGATATTAGTGATCAGCTGTTCCATTAACAAAGAAACCTGTTTACATTTTTATTTCTGTTTGCTGAATGTTCTCAAAGCTCATCTTTTCCTTACTACACATACACACTGTTGTTATCTACATATTTTTTCATTATATTCTCTACCATTTCTTTCCCCCTACAAGACAGAATGTTATTGAAAGAAACATTCGAGCATAGTTTGGAACATGTATATTCACAGGCATTTAAAGGAGGTCTTGAGACTGCACATAAAAGGCTGTCTAAAATCAAATGTTGCTGTTAAGAGAACACCATTTCAGTGATGTTTGTCTTAAATCTTTGCCTGTACTGCCAGTCAGGCTCAATTCTACAAATCCCTGTTTCTGCACATGGTTCTAAGAAGTAAAAGAGTTAATTTCCAAGTGTAGTTACAAGGTTTAACCGGAAAGGCAAGGGTCGGTTTGGCACTCTCCTGGCCAAGGCAGGAGTTCAGCAAACCGCTGCCCATGGTTGTGGCTTCTGCCCGGGCCCCGAGCTGCTGGCTGTCCCCAGCCGCAGGGCACAGGGCCACCTGCCGGCTGCCACGCTCCAGCCAGGCACATCGGGAAGCAGGTAGCCATCTGTAAAACCAAGTTTTGTAAATGCAGATTATTCCCCCCGTGTCACCTAGCTCATTTTTTGGCTTTGCTCTTTCATGGCTAAAAGAATGGCCACTTTAGCTGTAATCAGTGGGCAATCAGCAGGGTTTTTAGTATCCACTGTTTCTCTCCTGTAGGAATTATTGTAATTTCTAGATATTTCAACAAGTTTGCAACCTGATGATGGTGAAAAACCCCTTGTTTTGGCATAACACTGGGCACTAGGCCTGTTGAGTACAGATGACTGCATGCTTTCTCTATCCTCAGAGTGAAACACCCATCTGCACAGTTTTCAGAAATAGTGAAGTCTGCTGGCATTCAGAATATCCACAGATTTGTCAAAATTTCAACTGCAAATCAAGTTGTCATATAAACAGCCAAAATCAGAATACTTTTTAATGTGAAAATTTACATTCTAGTTAAAATTACACCAAAAAAGGTAAAAACCAATTGTTCAATTTTAAGGCTGCTTAGGACCGTGAGCCTGTCTTGTGCTTTGTATGGTAAATGCTGTAGCATTTATAAAATCCATATGTTACACAATTATAAATTAATACAAAGCAATAAAAAGAGTCAAATTCTCTTTTAAATTGTTTTTCTGTGCAGTAGGTTCTTTCTTTAATGGATAGTCCTTTTGCTTTCTTCTGTGCTAATCTTGTCTATTTTAAGGCAATGAAGTTTACCAATGCTAATTATATAAAGTTGGACAGCATATGTTAATGAGCACTGTATTCCCCAGCCCTTCAGAACAGCTCAGCCTCAAATAACACTTACATATTGCCTATGTAGAGATTAGGCCACTCTTCACCCACGTGATTTAATTCCACTTTGCAGCTGTCCAAAATATCTGGCAGTTCCTGGGCAGAGGGAGTGCCAGGCTCAGACACTCCTGGGCTGACAGGGTCTGTCTTCAGGTGCTGACCCCTTTGGAGGCCTCATGCAAAGTCAGGCAGAGCAGGGAGGGCCTGCTGGCAGCCGCTGCTGTGGAATGCACAGGGAGGGTTTTGCTGAAGCAGGCTCTTTCTGCAGCTTGATGTTCCCAAGCAGGTGGCTGACTCTAAATACAGCTCGCGCCTTGACGCCTCCCTGGATTAGCTCAGCACTACGTCCCTGATGCAATGGGGAACAGCCAGAAAAATGAACCTTCTGCTTTAAGTGAATCTTATGCAAAAAAATGCTACTCCCATCCTCACATAAGCTATGGTGCTGTTCCTGCCAGCACAGAGCTTTCCCTGTGAAAGAAATGTCAGTGCAACCGAGACGCAGTCCCAAGTGCCTCATGTGACCCAGTTCTAATAATAAGCTACCAGGAAAGAGGGGACAGCACAGCTTGAGGGCGAGTTCAAAATAAACACCATGAGAACACTGGTCCTGGGCCTTACCCAAGGTTCACCAAGCCCACTGTCTTGTGCTTGACTGTGGCTGAAAGTGAATGCCTACATAATGTAAGAACACACAAGCATGAATTATATTTGTGTATATAATAATAACAATAATAATAACACTCTCCCAGCTTCCAGCTGCAGTTTATAAGCTTGCTGATCTGGATGGAGTTTCTAAGTATTTGGTAACCCTGAATGGATTTCTGTCCCTCAAATATTTCCACTTCAATGTCTATAGGCTTTTACTCTCTGCAGCACCCTGTGGCAAGTGTTACACAGCTCATGTAAACCCCTCCCTTTCTTTCAGACCTGATTTCTACTGACTTCATATGATGCCCTCGGTTCTTGTACTGGAAAATAAAATGAAGAGACGTTTTCACTGGAACTCTACACGGGTCCCTTCAGGTGACACTGGTTTTGTGATTGCTGTAAGCAGATTTAAGTCTGCCAGAGCTGTAGTGGGGACAGTTCCTCTCACTTACACCTTCTCCCAGGTTGTGCAGACCCTCTTGACAAATGCATATTTTCTGAATGAAGTGCCACTAGGGAGGCAGTATTTTTCCTTCATTTTGGTTCCTTAATATAACTTGCCAAACTAACATTCGAAATACAAGTTTTTATGCTGATAGTGGAAAGCAGTGAAGTACTAATGTCATGTCACATCATTATGTGAATTATGGATAGTGTAATTGACAGGTGAGGAGGTCCCTTTTCCTCTTAGCACATGGCAGCAGACAATGCTTTCTGTTTTAAGAAGTTACAGGACTATTCTTCTGCTTTTGCTTATGTTGACTGGAAGTTTTCCCCCTGCACAAATGTGCACTCAAAGTAAATCTGTATATAAAGACACAATACAGGCAGGCAGGAAATATAAGCAACACTGACTCCACAGATTAAAAGCACTTCTGTGATTTGACAATGCCCTTGAAAAAAGTTTCTACCTAATTCATTCCTTCCACCGAGGTAAGTAAGTCATGCTTACAAGATCACTACCATGCCATTGGTGGCATGGATGCCCAACTGGCTCAGCTTCACTCTGTTGTTCCCTTCCCTGCCCCTGGTGAAACCATACTCTCCCAGGATCAGCAGTATCTTCAAGAGCAGGTACTAATTTACAACAGGAGCAGCTTTCACAGCTGTGGCTTTGTAGGACAGATGCTCAGAGGCATGCAAAACATTATCCTGATGGGAGGATTCCATTAATCTTGCTCACATGTGTCTAATTTTGCCCAGCCTAAAGCCATTAAGATGCATTATTTCACTCACATGAATTTCAGATTTTTCAATGCTGTGTCTTCAAAAGGTTTCCAGACTAAAACCTACTGTAATGTGAATGAAGTATAAATTATAATGAAATTTTAACTCATATAAATACCTATTAATTTTTATGGTGAACTTCAAAGCAAACAAAGCTCCTCCTCCACTGCTCTGCTGCTTTGTGAGGTATAAAGATTGTCCTAGCACTGTTGGGTTTTAAATGTGATTTCCTATTTGATCTTTCTCTGATCAGTGGAGCTCTTTTGCAACATTTAGGAAAATCTCAACAGTCAAACTGATGTCTGAAAGGATCTTAAATGTGCTTATTTTGCAAAGCACTTGTGTACAGTGAAATAGGGAGGGATTTCTACATTCCCCTAAATGCTAGGCAGAATCAGCATTCCTGTCATAACCTCTGAAAGAATGAATAAGGAAATATTCATTCAAATAAGGTGGTCTGGAAAGGAAGAGGTTCAGCTCCCAAGTCACCATTATATTAGTCTTCTAATAACCTTGCAAGTCTCTTACAGCAGAGAATAAAATGATCAGAACTGATGCTTCAAATGCAAACAAGCAAGCAGGAATGTATTTACTTAATCTGTCAGGAAATCTTTTAAGGTCAACTAATCAATAAATCCAACCAGCAGCAAAGGGCAAAACCAAATTTGATCATCACTTCATGGTTCACCACAAGGTAACAAGCTAATTTTAAGGCAGAGTGGTAGCATGAATTTCAAATGCTGTTGCTGTATTAAAAATCACATTGGTTTAAGTACTGATTAACTGGTGACAGGAAAACTGACATCCTCAAAACATCTTAAAACTAATTTGTATCAATTAGGCCAAGCCACTGATGTAAGCTAAATGTCTACCTGATATTAAACCACAGGTGATCCAAAGCCACTGACACAGAACTGATTTGGGATAATTTGGAGTGCAAGACAACTGAGGAGTCCAACTTACAAAATGCTTTGAAGACATGACATAGTTTTTTTAACATCCTCAATATACTACATGATATACATTATCTTTTTGAAAACATATTTAACAAGAAAAGACTCGTGGGGTTTGCTGACTTAGGTTGCAGAAGTATCACAAACATTTATTCTGATGGTGTGAGTCTTGTGGCTGACACACCATAATATTTAGCAGACCAGAAATAGAGGAACGTTTCTGTAGGAGTGCCTGGGCTCTTAATAAACTGTCCTTGTCACATCATCAGGCCTGAAACTGAAACACTATTTTTTTCTCAGGAGAACATGCATGTGAGAATTGTAACCAAACTGAGAAAGATTATTATGTTACACTCCCAAATAAAGGGACTCAAACATCCTTTACAGCTAGATGCAAATATTGAACTTGCCTCTGGCACGAGCAGAAACCAGGGACAAACTTGGTCTGTCTTAACCACTCCAGCGGATTCATCCAGTAGCACCACTCAAGGCACAGCAGTTCCACCCTGTGCAGTGGTAATGGTGCTGCTGTTGGCTGTGCTGGTTTTGGAGGAACTGAGATATCAGAATTAATCAATTTATCGTTCTCTTGGCCAATTATGTCTATGCATAATTGTCTTCATGTTTGTAATGTGCACTGATCATGGGAAGTTGCACGTGCACAGCTGTTCTGAAGGGTGAAACTCAGTCAAGTGAATGTAGATGGGGTTGCCTGTTCAGCAGTCCTTCCTTTGTTCCAGTCCTTCCTCTGCCGTAGCTGAGCATCCAGGTTTCGCAGGTGCTTCAGAAAACCACGGTTGGGTGAAATCCATCGATGCTCCTTCACTGTCTTGATGGCTTCAACTAACGGGAGGTGGTGATTTATCATGAGATATGCTAGGACTAGAGAAGCTGATCTGCTTACTCCAACTGCACAGTGTACCAATATTTTGGCTAGTAAAAAAAAAATAAAATACAACCATCAAGAGAAGCAATACAGTGGATGAAGTTTAATTTAAATGTTTTTCTCTTCTGATAAATCACGTGAACTGCTAATTAGTTAAGTCTAATTTGCCATTGTTACAAGTCACTTGTATGAGAAATGCCATGAGACCCCAAACTGATCTCAGAAACACTGGTAAATCAAAGAAAACCCTTTTAGAGTAATGAAGCTGTTCTGTTTTGACCATGAGGAAAAGAAAACCCATTAGTTTCAGCAGGCTGGCTTATGCAAGGAAGGATGCTAAAACCTGCTTCTTGGAGGCCCAGCCTTGCAGGCTCTGTTCACACAAGAAACTCATCTGCAACCTAGGAACCTCTTTATACAGGTGATTGCAGAAATCAGGAAATTAGTCTTTTTATTCATTTGTTCTTGCAATAAGACAGTCTCAAAAGAGGGTGTCCATTTCCAATGCATGTTTTTGCTTCTCCACTTTCGAATGAGCTTTACCTTCCAAATTATTCTCTTTCTCCCCCCCCAGGCTCTCTCCTGCACAGTTCATCTATTTGGTCACATCAGCTCTTTGGGATCTAGTCAGAGCTATACCCACATACACAGCACTGCCTTCTCCTGCCACCCACCGTACAGGTGACCAGCACCTGGTAGGACACCATGCAGTGACTTGTCCACCACTGAGCTTTGTGGAGCTGACCTGTTACATGAGGCTGCTGACATGCATCAAAATGTGACCAACAATCATTCCATACCTCCTGGTGTGTTCAAGGCTTTGTGGATAAATTGTGCAGCAGAGAAAAAGAACTGGCTGATATCAAAGCTTGGCAGGTCATGGGCTGGCACACCATAATAATCAATGGTTGCTCCATAAAAGTCCTGGCCTCCGTGGCTGTATGATGTGCCATGGGCAGCATTTAAAACATGGGTCACACCCATCTTCCACAAAACAAATCTATTGTTTGCTGTTACTCTAAGGAAAAGATAAAGACAAATCAAGATGGGTGCAGTGATATTCACAGAGCAGAAGCACTGAGATTGCATCTCCCAAACTACTGCCGGAGGACCAGCCTATGCATCGATTCTAAGGGCTAATGGAGAAGGGAATACCAGCTCAGTCATAATTTTATCTCGGAAATCGTGCTGTCTGCAGCGTAAACGACAGCAATTAACAAAACTATGAGCTGTCTAAAGCCGCACCCATGAGGCACACTAACAGAAGGTATGGCAGAGGCGTGTCCATAAAGCTGTACTTACAGGTCCCCTAAGAAGAGATTAGGCCATACTTCATCAACGTGATTGCAAGAGGGCCGCCCAGTGTTCAGGAGCTGCTCTATTTCCTTGAGGGAGGGGACATCCTCCGGGCATGTCCCAGCGCCTTCAGGGTCCGGGCTGCCCGGCGCCCCTGCGCCAGCCATGCTGAGATCCGGGGCGAGACGCCGCTCCCTCCCGCCGGCCGGAGGAAGGCACAGGGCGGCACAGGGGCGCTGCCAGCCCCGCTCGGAGCCGGGGGCGCAGCGAGACGGGCTGGGGCAGGTGCGGGCAGCCA